ACTCAGGCTCATATCAAAACACTTCATACTTCCCGTTTGATACACATTGTAGTGTTGTATCAATAACATGTAAAAACACTTCAATATAATAAGCACACATAATAGTGATGCTAATGGAGTCCATCCCCTATCTCCTCCCAAACAAAATCCGGTTTAGAGGTCCATCCCCTATCTTCCCCTAAACCGTGGAGTACATCCCCTATCTCGTCCCACACAAAACAAAGTATGTAAACACATAACATATACTTCACACAATCAATACACATAATGTCTGTATTAATTCAACAGTCAAAATTAATGACTCAACCAAAGTGATTAGTTTCAGTTATACCTAATCCACATGCATTGTCTACAACAATCACGACTATCCTCCACCGATAGCCCAAAACAGTTATTTCTAGACTTGGAAATAACTATAACAACAATTCAATAGGCGAGTGATTTAAATTATCCAACTACACCATTTAATCAATAATTTCCCAATTTCATGAATTTAACCCAATTCCTCAATTCCCTTAAATTAATTATACAAATTAATTTAATTATTACAACTAGGGTTTTTCCCAAAATTATCAAAGTAATCCCAACATATCAAAATACCAAAACTTAGAACAAAACTTATAAAATGGAGTAGGAAATCCCTACCTCGAAGGAAATAACCCGAATGGAGAAGACAGAGATGAATACCCAAATTCCAATGTGCTCCAAATCACTAAATATTCAGATTAAATGGAAGCCCTCGACTCACTCTATCTTTTTAATAAAGGATCTAAGGTAGAAACCCACTCTAAGTAGATCAATCCTAAGAGAGAAGGTGTGTAGAGGGAGAGAGAACTCGTAACTAGGGTTTTGGAATATGAAAGTGTATGAAAAACTGATCTGAAACACGCTGCTGCCTATTTAAACCTGACAGGCTCGCTCGAGCGAAGACTTGGTCGCTCGAGCGACCAGATACAGAAAAGATACGCTCGAGCCAAGGAATCCTTGCTCGAGCCAACAACCCAAAAGCTCGCTTGAGCGAAAGAAATATCGCTCGAGCGAAGAACTCAAACCCTCAGGTCTGTAACCAGACACACGCTCGAGCGAAGGAATTCTCGCTCGAGCGAAGAACGAACTAACTCGCTCGAGCGAAGAAAAGCTCGCTTGAGCCAAAAACCTCTGCTCTCTGGTCTAACTACAAAACGCACTCCTCGCTCGATCGAAGAAACCCTGGCTCGAGCGACGGACCAAAACAAAGAGCTCGCTCGAGCGGAGAACTGCTAGCTCGAGCGAAGGGTCAAAATTCTGGGCAGTAACCCTTTGCTCCCAAGCTCAACCAACCTGCTACGAACCTGCCCATTGCATCCCCCAACTCAGAAATAGGAAATTAAAGGACGGTAACAATCATAATACAATGGCAGGAGCTACGGAACCTAAGTCCGGATACAATAATCAAATGGAAAAAGACCGGGGTCGCTATAACGACCTTTTTCCATTATGATTGAACCCATTGAGTTAAATCCTAGCTATTGAATGGTAATGGATCCTATAGTAATGCATCAAATTGAAGCATCGTTCCCATTGCAGTTTATCAAAAATTAAGGAATCTTTATTCACAACAATGAAGGCATATTAACTCACTTCAATTGTTAGAAATAGTATACAAAAAATTACAAATAATTGGTTTTCTTTAAAGAACTATTAAAAAATTATAAACCTTAAACCTTTATGGCACATATGCACATAGACAAAAGAAAAATTGCATGCATAAGCGTATAGGCAAAATCATACTAAAAACGAAGAGATCTTTACAATGATAATAACAATGAAAAGGAAAAGGCTTAATCACAGTATTTATCCGATTTCAACCCAAAAAAATTTACCATTAGTATGGGTTATTGGTAATTACCAAAAAAAAAAAGAAAAGAAGATGTACAATCTATAGCAATCTAATAGAAAAAGCAAGAAGATAATTTGCAAACCCAAAACTTTCAATCTGATGGCATCATGGAAAACCCCCAAAACAAACTGAGACAAGATTTATGTTGATCAAACATAGAGAGAGATACTTTGCAATCTGATAGTATATCCAGAATTCTCAATCTAATATAATTATCCCAAAACTCACAAAAAAAATATAATTGAAATTGAAAGCACTTATGATACCTAAAAAGCAATCAATGCCATCAATGGACACAATTGCTCTAGAAAAAAACTTCAAGTGCCATCAACACCATCTAGTTGTAGACCTCAAGTACCATGAACAATAACCTTGAAAAAAAAAAGAAAAAAAAGAAGAGGGAGAGAGAGAGAAAGGGAGGGAGTAAAATCCTTAACTAAACAATAACCAAATAAGAAAGAATGAGTAACCAAAGTAATAACCATACATATGTCATTATACACTATCTAACAAAAATGTGCCAAAGATATTCTCATGGACCCAGTAAACATAGCTAGGTGAATGGAAGTAAAAACAGGGGAGAATGAGCAAAAGAATCAATAACTAGCATGAAAAACAGGTGTGCTTACTCTATGGATGTTGCTCCTCTATGACCTAAGCTAAAAGAATCAAACAATGATGGGTTTTTATACCAGCAAAGTACAAACAATGGTGTACCAAAAACCCAAAAATTATTGACCTACAACAAGAAAAAATTAAATATCAAAACTAATTCAGAAGAAAGCCATAACTATGACCTTGAATTCAAACTTCGACTTCGATTTGCGATCTTTGTCTTGACCTAGCCTCACTATTATTCGAATCGAAGAATCGAGAGATTCTACAAAATTGTAAGAAATCTATGGTGGTGTGTTTTGGCTGGTGGAGGCGGAGCAAGGTGGTGCTCCGGCAAGAAAAATGATGGGTTTTGGGCGTGATGAGATTGGTGGTGGTTGATTAACAATGGCAGATTTAAAAATTGGGGCTTTGAATCAATGGATTTGAGTGGTTGTTGACATGTGGTTGATTGTTGAAAGCAAATGGAGAGAGTGAAATGGGTAAGAGATTGGAGGGTTTGAAAGTGATGAACCAACTAGGTCTAATCCAAAACCTTCTGATTATTGAACTATAAAAGGGAGTGAAGGAGGAAGTGTGTGACAGAAGCCGAGAGTGAGATTGAGAAAAGGTGTGTTTGAAATTTGAAATGCAAATGACAGAGAGAGCTAAACAGAAAAAGATGGGCTAGAAGAAGAAACAAAAGGAGAAAATGTATCCTCTACCGTAGGATGTATGCCAAACAAACAATCTCAACCACTAAAAGACAAGTTGTATTTTGGAAATTTTTAGACCATTAGATTGCATTAATCCTAACCATTCAAAGTGACATCTAGGACAAAATTGTAGTACATTTTCAAAAAGCTAATTGCCTTATTATATAGATAATTGAGATAGACTTAGGCCTCATTTGGCACATGTATGTTTCAGCCTAAAAGCCAAAAAGTTACTAAAAATAACTAAAAAGTCTATAACCTATACCAAAAAGTCAATGATTCCCTTTCCTCTCTTTGCACATATTTTCATAAAAAACCAAAAAGTCATTCCAAATATACTCTAGTTTTTTTTTACCTCATATTTTAGCCAAAAAGCTAAAAAGTTACTAAAATAGCCTGTTTCCAAACAAGGCCTTAAGAGCCAAAGAATATAAACTACTCCAAATAAAACCAGGTCTACATGATCATTCTCTATCCATTAAATTTTAACCAATGTTTTCAAAAGTCAAATCCTTCCACATGTTCTTCCTAGTGTAAGAGAAAAGACATAATCCTAACAGTGAATTCACAGATAAACCAAATGGTGCATGTTTTATTTCTAGCATAAGAAATATTTCAATAGTTGATCAAGTCAACTACTAATACATGAGCTTCAATTGGAGCAAACCAAGCATGAACTTCTGATAGTCATTATAGTCAACAAGAATATATAGTGTGCTAATAAATAACAAAACAATAATATAAAAAACAATATTATTTTTGAATAGCTTAAAATAAAAGGAACAATTGTCAATTCAACTTTTGAATAGCTTAGAATAAAAGGAACAATTGTCAATTCAACAAGTCTTTGCTCTTGCCATTGCATTATGTCAGCACCGAATCTTGTGAATGGGGTTGCTTGGTATTGTGTTGATATGGACTTTTAAAGGAGGGGATTCAAAAAATTTGTGTGTGTGTGTGTGTGTGTGTGTGTGTGTGAGAGAGAGAGAGAGAGAATTAGGAGGCATTATACATAAGATATACATAAATAGAAATTATGAAAACATGTTGCAAAGTCACGTAGCCACAAGTTCAAAATAGTTGATGGAGATGCATAAGCCCATGTCCATCCATAACAATAGAGAGAGAGAGAGAGAGAGAGAGAGAGAGAGAGTTCACTTAATAATATATAAATTAGAAGAAATATCATTTTGCCCCCTTAAACTTTCACGTGTTTTTCAATTCGACTCCCATACTTCGATTAATATCAATGTTTCACCTAAACTTTCAAAGTTTTGATCAATTTGGCCCTTGCCACCACATTCTATTAATAATTGGACGGAATTTGTTGATGATGTGGCACCAATGTTCATTTGAAATTTCATTTTGCCCCCGAAACTATGCCTTAAAAATCAATTTGCCTCCAAAATTAAAATTCAATTTGCCCTCCAAACTATACCCTAAAAATAATTTTGCCCCACGTCAGCAAATTCCGTTCAATTGTAGATGGAATGTGAGCCCAACACATCCTATAATTCCAAAAGAGAAAATAAGGAATAACAACAACAACCATATACAATGACAAAATCTACGGAACAGTCCGGATACAATAATTAAATGGGAAAAGACCAGGGTCGCTATAGTTTGGGTGTAAAATTGATATTAATCTAAGTCTAGAGGTCAAATTAAAAAGCGCGTGAAAGTTTGGGGGGACAAAATGATATTTTCTCTATAATTTAATATGTGTGTAGCTTTACCTTTATAGCTTAAGAGATTTACTCAATATCATGCATTCCATGGCTATCTTTTGGCATGAACTTCTTTATCACTTCTCAGGGAGTAAGATCTTGTCCTTTAGTTGAGATTATATTAGCAATCACGGAAGAATTGGATGTATCTACCCAAAAACCCCTTTGAACCATTTCCTCAACAAGTATTAGTGCCTTATAGCACTTGTGTTGTCCAATAAATCCTCGAATAATAGTGTTGTAAGTGGCATCATTTGGCAAACAACCATTCCGTTCCATTTTAATAAACAACTCTTTAGCTTCATGTAGTAGGCCTTCTTCACAAAGACCTTGTATCATCATAGTGTATGTCTTAACATTAAGATCTAATCCCTTGAAAGAAAGGTCACTGAAAAGAGCCTTAGCAGTATCAAGCTTTTTATCCTTGCAAAATGCATCAATGAGGATAGAATACTTAACAATATCAAGATGTAAACCGTTGCTTTCCATCATGTGGAATAATGACAATGCTTCAGAAATATGCCCATTTTTGCACAACCCATCCAATAAGATACCATCAGTTTGAGAATCTGGATTTATGCCTGCAGTTTGCATATCCTTAAAAAGTTTTTGAGCAACTCCACATCTACCTATTTGAAACAAACCCCGTAACATAGCACTGAAGGTTTCAGTGCTAGGTTTTAACCCCCTTTGAGGCAATTCTCGAAAGAGATGCATGGCCTCATCAATTTTCATCTTCTTGCAATATCCATTAATCAAAATACCGCGACTAACAATGTTCAGGTGAAGGCCCTTATCCACTATGGTATTGAACACTCTGATTGCTTCATCCATTTGGCCTTGCAAACAATGTGCATCCATTAGAGTATTGTATGTGACTACATTAGGATCCACACCTCTTTGTATCATGATTGCAAGTACCCCCTCTGCCTCTTTCATTTTCCCTTCCTTGGTACATGCATCTGGGAACACACTATACGTATGAACATTTGGAGCAATACCACTATCTGATATTTCTCTAAACATTCCGGTAGCCTCCTTTCAATGGCCAAAATTACGTAGGCCATGAATCAAAGAGTTATAAGTGACAACATCTCGATGAATGCCTTGTTCATTCATCTTGGAAAAGAGTTTCATAGCATCATTATAGCGACCCCGGTATTCCATGTTGTTGTTTAACTGTAATCCGGACTCAGTTCCGTAGATTTGTTGTTGTCTTATCCTCATTTCTATCCCTTACTCTTTGTTTTAGAGTTTTGGGTTGTGTTGGGCAAGTTGGGAATAAGTTGGTTGTGTTTTAAAACTTAGAATTTTGCCCAGGTTTTGGTCTATTCGCTCGAGCGGACATTTGTTCTTGCCTCTCCGCTCGAGCGGTAGTTTGGACGCTCGAGCGTGAATTTCCTTCTCTTAGCATTTTGGTCGTCTGCAGAAATTTCTGGGAGGGTGCATCCGGCGCTCGAGCGGATCTTTGGACGCTCGAGCGTGAACCTGTGTCTGACGCTCGAGCGGAACTGTTTTATATCAGTCTGTGAAATCACTTTTTGAATCACTTTTCACTTTTCTTTTCTCTCTCTTACTTTCCCAAAATCGATTTTTGAGAGCTCCTCACTCTAAAACCTAACTTCTCTCTAGGGTTTGATCTAGTAGGAGTGTTTTCCTCACCTTGGGCCTTTGTAAAAAGTGCGTTGATCGTCGAGGGCTTCGTTTTTATCCAAGAAATTTAGGATTTGGAGCACTTTTGAGTTTTTCTCTTTTTCTCCTTGGGTTCTACATTTGAGGTAGGGATTTCCTTATTTTTTTACAATACTTCGTCTATAGATAGACATGTGGTAGTTTTGTATTGCATAAAAACCATATCCACGTTGGATTTGTTTGAAATCATGAGAAGGAACCTAGGGTTGATTGTTTGAAAATGGTTACTTTATCATTGATGGCTGTTTTGGGCTAATTGGAGTGTAAATTAGCATGTTATAGTTGAAAGAAGAAAAAGCCCTAAATTATATTTTGATTTGGTAAATTAAAATAGAGGGTAGTTAACCAATGTTGTAAATCCCTATTGTTAATGTGAGTTGGGTGAAGGTGTTAATGCCTAAGGGGTTAACTTTGGCTTTGGAATGGTTTTGAAATGAATGTAGTGGACTAATGTGAGTTATGGCTTTATTATCAACGGATTTGGTTTTGTAAAACAAAAGGAATGGAATTGGTTTTGTGGAAACAAAAGGGATGGAGTTGGTTTTGTGAAACAAAAGGAAATGGAATTTGTTTTGTGAAATGAGAAAAGTATCTTTGCTATAAGTATGAAAATTGGATTGTTGTTTCTTGAGTGTTAAATACACACACGCGGGGGTTGTATCTTTAACTACCGTGTTAATGTTGTTGTTGGGTTTGTGGTCTCATAGTAATTGAGTCTTTAATAGATGTACTAAATACTTGCATCTAGAGGTTTTGTCCTTGGTCATCGGTGGAGGATGACATGGTTGAGTTGAATTGTCGCGTATGCATTATACCATTGTTGATTGAACATTGTATGTGAGGAAGTGCTGAGATACATTATATATGTATACTTGCTCGGGGGGAATTAATTATGTGTTCATATACTTTAACACATTGCTTGTATCTTGATGGTTTATGTATATGTGTTATAAATGTTAGTTATGCCCTGTTGTATTTTGGTTGGTGGTGTTATACCTTGCGCTAAAAATCAAAGGTACCGTGACCTTCCAGCTAGCGCCTGGAGAACTGACTGCGCTGAGAATCTTAGGCACCACACCCTTCCAGCTAGCGCCTGGTAAGCTGGTATGTTGTTGTGAGAGGTGTATCTTTGGCTTACTACGCAGCACATAGCTGGTAGAGCAAAGTTTTGTTGTTGTTGTTCCATTGTATCTGAGGATATCATGGATTTGGTTGGTTACAGTTTCGGAGGGCCAAGTTACCTCATTGGTTGATTATATACATGTTATTGAGTTGTTATCTCCCTTTTTATAAAGGTATGCATGTATAGTTATGATTGTATTGGGAACGAACCAAAATGTCTTTTTTGTCATTTGAAAAGTGTGAAGGAGATCGAACATTTTTTTTCAAAAATATGTTTTGAAAAGGCACATCTGTTGTGTGTATGGAAAATGGAAGAGAGTAATGGGCTTAGTGAGATTATTTCCTAAGTAATTGTTAATGTTATGAAAGATTGGGGTTAATGAAAGAAAAGGGAAAGATGAATCGCTTATAGCGCTGAATGAAATCGCTGTTTTCGAGAAAGTTCATATGTATGTATATTTTATATAAACTGTCACATTACTATTCTAGTATGAGATTGGGCATTCATGATCATAGCTATCTGTAAGTTGTTATTGTTGAGGGCCATGTTAAGATCCTTACTGGACTATATGTTCATTCCACGTTGTTGAATTTTTTTTCAAGTGTTGAGCAGGATGTGCTACAAGATTTGGATCTTCTTAATTGTTGGACACGGGGCCTCTTTTATGTTGGCGGAATGCCATATATGTAAAAGGGTTACACCCTTCTTCTTGACTCTTTAATGCTGTAAGCCCAAGGGCAATTTGTTTAGCATGCTCATGTTGTATTTACATTGCATACGAATGAGAGTGTTGTTATTCACTTCTACAAGTTGAATATATGAGTTTATTTCCGCATGTTATCTCTAAAACGGAATTAAGTTAATGAATTTGGTAATACTTAGAGTATTAAAAAGTGGGGCGTGACAATCATCCATCATTCTATCCTTGCAAAGACTGTCAATGACCGTGTTATACACTATGGTGTTAGGTTTACAACTTCCCCTTTCCATTTTCCTAAGCAAACTAACAACCCTAATAGTGTTCCCCCGTTCTGCAGAGCCTATTAATAATGGTTCCATACATAACCACGTTGGGTTCAATTTCTCTCATTCTCATTAATTTCTTGAATAACTGCACAGCTTCAGGGGTTTTATCTTGCAAAATAAGTCCATTTATTAGAGTGCTGAAGGTAGTTACATCGGGTGTATAACTGCATTTGAAGAGGGTACCCAAAAGAGAGAACCCAAAATAGACTCCATTAACACGGCAGTAACAATTGATAGCAATGTTGAAGGTGCAGATATTGACCGGAATGCCTAGAAAATGCAATTTACCAATAAGAGGAAGAGCGATGGCATGATGACCTAATGTTAGGAAAACAATTATGTTAGGAAGTCTAATCAAGTTAAGAAGTCTATGTTATTTTTCTTATATAAAGATGCTTATTGTAATGGTTTTTGAAGGAGATTAAATAATATTAAGAGTTTAGGTGGCTAATCTCCAATTCAAAGGATTGTTGGTGGCTGATCCCTAATCAAAGGATCAAATTCAAGATCTAGGACCCTATCATCTACTATTAGAGCATTCAATCTTTGAGCTTCCATCTCTTCCTACGTTGTCATTCATCATCAACAACATGACTGTTAAGGAACTCGAAAAACAAGTTGCTGCTCTTACTACTAGGATAGACATGATGTCTACTCGTATGCAAGAGTAAGGAAGACCATGCTGCTTTTTGTGCTCGTTATCCCGATTTGCCAGCTTGAGGACAAGCTGTGATTCTAGGGCAGTCGAATGTTAGGAAACCAATTATGTTAGGAAGTCTAATCAATTTAGGAATTCTAATTATATTAGGAAGTCTATGTTATTTTTCTTATATAAAGATGCTTATTGTAATGGTTTTCGGAGGAGATTAAATAATATTAAGAGTTTAGGTGGCTAATCCCCAATTCAAAGGATTTTGGGTGGCTAATCCCCAATCAAAGGATCAAATTCAAGGTCTAGGAAAAGATGGCCTAAAGCTTTGCTGAAACGACAAATGGAGGGCAAACGTCGCATTTGGAGCATGAAATTAAAGGAATTTACAGCATCTTGGAGAACATTGTGCTCTGAATTGCATCGATTTATTGGTAAAATTTTAGGTTGATTCGTTAATACAACAGCAGCAGTTGGAGGAGGAGGAGGAAGAGGAGAAAGAGGAGGAGGAGAACTAGGGTTTCGGGTAGTAGTAGAGAGAGAACGAAACAAAATAAATAAGAATGAAGAGGGATGATTAATTAGAGAGGGAAATATTGTACCTTTTTGACAAATATGATTGGCAATTCTTCTTTTTCTTCTTTTTTGTCCAATAATGGAAGAAACAGAAACTCTTCTTCTTGATATCTTCTTCAAGCTCTGTCACTCTATGTGTCTGAAAGGAGAGACCAAGAGAGACAGAGCCTGAGAATAAGTGAGGGAGAGAGAGAGAGAAGAGGAAAAGGAGAAGGAGAAGAAGGACGAGGATGAGGACAGACTGGAGTAGTACCACTAATTTCGAATTATTTTTGAAAGCATACACTCATTTGTAATTTTTCCAAACAAAATTGAGAAAATTAATAAAAATAATAATAAATTTAACTTTTATAAGAAAATAAATATTTAATTTTAGTTTTATCAATTAAATTCTTAATCTTTTAATTTAAACAATTTGTATATTTTAATCAAGTAAAATCGGCAAACTTATCTAAAAATAAAGTAAAATAAGAAGAAAAAGAACATTTTAGTATATATTAAAGTGCAAATTACCCGCAAGTCCTATCTGGAAGAGGAGAAATATATTTAGTCCCACAACCTTTTTGATACTTTTAAAAGCCCACTATGCATTTTTCTTCTTCGTTCTTCTCTGCGCTTTTGTTCTTCTCTGCCTCTTTCTCTTCCTGATTTTCTACAATTAGCGACCACGCCTTGCTGTTCTCTTTCTCTTTCTAATATATAGTCATCAGCGACCAACAACCACCATTGATTGGGGTTTATCGACAACCACCGACTCCTTACTTCACCTTCATTGACGGCGAAGGAGATGAATTTTCAATGAAGAAGATGAGTAGATCTACTCAAATCTGATGTAGATCTACTCAGATCTACATCAGATCCGACTAGATCTAAACAAAAAATAGTTACCGGAGTACAATCTTCTCTCTATATCTGTTTGTCTACTTTGATCTCTTAGTTTTTCTATTTTGTTTTATTACACACTTCTATTTTTCTATTTTACTGGAGAGAATTTTTAAGTTTTGAATAAGTTATTTTCGAGTTTTAGTTACAAACGATGAAAGTTGTAAAATTTTACAGTTTCAATTTTTTTGGTGTTGAAATGAATCATGCTTTAAAACTGCAAAATTTTACAGCTTCACAACATTCTTTGGAACTATAAAATTTTCTAGTTTGATTAATAAGAATAAATGCTTAATAGAATTATATTTTGAAACTGTAACATTTTATAGTTTCAAAGCTTGCTTTTCAATTCGATCAATATTGGAGATTATTTACTTAAACCCTACAAAATTGAAAAATAATATATGTTTTTTCCCCATTATTGTGTTTTTTGTAATTTTTTTTTCAGTTTATCAATATTTAGTACATTTTGCTATATTTTTTACTCTAATTTTTCCATTTATTCTTTATTTTTTGGGGGCAATATTTTGGACATTCCAGCAAGTCTCCAACGATATTCTTGATGTCTAGAGAACATTTTGGACATTCTGGTGGCTTCTAGTGATGTTCAGAACACTTTGACGATACTCCGGCGACTTCCCGGTAATGTTGAATATTCTGGCGAGTCTCCAGTGACTGTCTGACGGAAGTTCGACGGTAGTGGAATGTAACAGTATTTTTTAATTTTTTTTTTAAACAAGGGATTTTTTGGTAGAGTGAATCTACTTACACCACTAGTTTACCTCTTCACACCCTTCGTCTCATTATCCCACTAAAATAAAAAATAAAAAAGTGATTCTCATTACACCCATTATACTATGATGACCGGTTTTACCTTACGTACCTTTGTTTTCATTTTTCATTGGGATTGTTGTGTCCGAACGCCTGTTCTCCTTTTATTCTCCTACTTGTTCATTTTAAGTGGCTTTTCTTTTGTTCCGGAGGGTTTTCTCAATTAAATACTTGTTCTAGTTTTGTTGGTGTTGAATTTCACTAGTTGCGGAGGATGCTCGGATGAGTCTGGAATGCCTGGGTGTTTGAACCAGAAAAATCTGTGCTGCTGGGCCAGGGCCACACGTGCGGGGCCCTAGGCTGCACGTGTGGGATGGGGGCCGCACGTGCAGGAGGCCAAGCGGCACATGTGGGGAGCAGGGGAGGCTGGGCAATGCATAGTGAAATATATGCACGAGCTGGGGGAGGGGCACCGCACGTGCGGGGATGAAGGCTGCACGTGCAAGGGAGGCGCTCTGGCAGACGGGGCAGTCTAAGCCTCTATTTTTATTCCTCTTTTTGGCCGAATTGTGTCTCATTTTTGAGCTTCTCTCTCTCACTTTAAACCCTATTTTCTCCTCCTTCTCTCTAGAAAACATCCCCAAACATTAAAACTCTTTGATTCTTGCAATCCATTGGGTTTAGATCATCATCCTCACTCTCTAATCTTGAAGATCAAGTTAGGGCTCTTCTTGGTGTAGTGGAAATCAAGGCTCCTTCTCATCCTTGAAGTTAGGGTTTCACTTCTCCTTCTTCATCAATCTTTGAGGTAGGGACATTCTTGAGTTATATATATATATATATGTTTTGCAAGATATATGTTGATTTATTTGCTTCTCTTGAAATTATTTTGAGAGTTTGGTTCTTGGCTCAAGGATGATGAGATTTCTCAAATGAGGGTTTAAACTTTAAATGTTCTAAGTTGATCCTTGAAGCCTTTTATCTATGATTTAAGAAGGGTGATTTTGATGAGCTTTCACATGAAAATGGGAGGTGTTTTGGTTTTGAGAAAGAACCCTAGAAATTGGGGGTTTTTAGAAAACATGAGAAAAACAATGAAATTCTTCTTTTCTTGTGTTTAGATGAGTGAATGAGTGTGGATTTTACAATGTGATATAAAGAAATGATAATTTTCTTGAAATAAGAGAGTGAAGGACTTATTTTTTTAAAACTATTGTTGAATGCATGGAAATATTTAAGTGTAAGATGATAATTGTTGTGCACTATGGATTTGTGAGAATTATAAACATTGGGAATTAATGTTTAAAAAACATTACATGTAGTCTTGATGAGACTATGTTACTAAGAATTGTGAAAAGTGAAATTGTGGCTAAGTGTAGATAGCATATGGTTATCTTGGGGAAGAGCATTGAAAAGAGGTAATGGGAAATGTGATTGTTGACATTATTGTAGAGACTTTGAAAATGGAGAAATGTTATGAGATATGGAAAATCATTGCATGGCATACTCATTCATGTTATTATTATTATACTTTGTGAGAATTCTCTACTGGGCTTTATGCTCACCCCTATGGGATTTGGTGCAGGTAAAGAAGTGGTGATCTCGCCGAACTAAGGGCGTGGATATTTTTGTAAAGAGTAAATAGTTCTCTTATTTTTGTTGTAAAATTTGTAAAGCCAAGGGCTAAATGTGTATGGGTCCAAGGGACCATTTTGTGTAACCGGGCTATTGCCTTAGAAGATGTAAGCCCTTAAAGGCATTTTATTGTTTTGAGACTAGACACTTCACATGCTATACATTCATGTGTTCTTTTATCATTGAATGTATATCCGCATGTGAAACTTTTGTATAAACTCATTTATTAACTATGTAAAGATGGAAGGATTATTATGACTGATGAGTGATTGTTAATCAATGTGGGTAGTTCATGTTGAATTATTTCGGGGCATTACATATACTATCAAAACTAACTTAAAACCCTTTAGTTTTGTTTCTTTACACCAATAGCTTTTGGTAATACAATGCTAAAGAATTTGAATTACTCTAGTGCCATATTACCAGACAAACTAATTCTTTCCAGCCATTTGTTGCTGTTCGATTGGATGATTTGACTTACTTTAAATACAAATTAGTTGGAGCCTAGTTGTGAAGTGCCTATTTGGTGATCTATTGCTATACAAATTAGATTACTCTAGTGTCATGTTGCTGAACTAAAACAAATTTGTTCAACCACCTATCACTTTACGTGTGTTGTAAATTTTTTTCATTATTGTTGCATTAAAGACATCCTTTCGTTTCAATGTAATCAATATCTCTTTTGGTAGCATCATACTCTTTGACATGTCAACTAACAATGATGTTTCCTTCTCAGATAATCTACCAGCAAATGAGTGCCCTTCAAGATGTTCAACAGTCAGATGATTGTACTAGCATTGCTGCA